TCAATAACTGTTAACTTGTTAGCGTTTCAGAGGAAGCCAGCTGAAAAAGACCTAGCAGGTGATTGCTATTTATTTTGACTTCTGTTCGTTATGACATGTTATTATTATTCTTCTATAATATTGCATGCTTCATTATGCTAATGTATTTTGAATTATGTTTTATATTGTGTTCTTTTTTGTTTTAGGTTGTTTTTATATTAGACTTATATTATAATATATAATTTAGACATTATGCTATTCTAAACTTATTTTATTTCATATTGATGTGTTGTTAGAATTATTTTATTTCGGAATGAATTCAATTCCAGCAGGCTGATCGAGGTCTTGTACGTACAAAAATGAATTTTAAAAGCTATAAAGAAAATAAAGAGCTAAAAACCTTAACCAAAATAAAAAAATAAATATAAAACGAAATAATGTTGATTCACAGGGGACCAGTTCAAACCCAAGGGGGCCAGGGTAATTAAAAGATGTGTGCTCTCGAAATATAACAATTAAATATAAGAAACATAATATAAAATAAATATATAGAATTAAATATTTAAGAACATAACTTAATATATAAACATCTAAAACTAAATATAAACACATTTAATAACATAATAACTAAGTATTATAAATACTGATCGAGTAACGGAAAAGAAACAAACAGTCTGCCATACCTTAAGCAACAGTCTTCTATACCTTAGCAACAGTCTGCCATACCTTAGCAACAGTCTTCCAGGTACCTTTAGCAAACAGGTCTGCCATACCTTTAGTGCAACTGGTATTGTATACTTTAGCAACGGTACCGCGTATATATAAATTAAAAAGACCCCCCCACAGAATGGTCCAAACTGACCAATTCAGAATTCAGTATTCAACTAAGCCATGTAATATGAAGGATAAGCGGTCATTGATCGTGATCCTCCTTAGCAACGGTAATTTTTCTGCATAGCAGCACTGTGGTTATTGAGTATTAGAACAACCTCTGAAATGTCCAAAATTGACCCAATCAGAATCTAGTATTTTAACCAAGCCGGTGATTACAACAAAAGGGTTTATTGTCTTATATGCCATCAGATAAAACGAGGAGTCTAATAAAAGGTTTTATATTTAGAGACTATACTTTTTGTTCTCAGCTAAGAGTCATGGTGGTTGAAGCGCTCTGTTAGCTGGCCCCAGTCGATGGATCATGATCAACGAACGCTGTTCTACTTCAACCCCAGACCATGAAGATGGGCTAAAGCTGAGGTAATGCTGGTCCCTGACTCAGGACTACAAATGCATTTGTTTTATAGGTTTGTTTACCTGTACAAACTGTCCCCTGAGACCAAATGTAACATTTGTGATAATGGGCAATATAAACTTTGATTGATTGATAAGAGGTATATGTATTTTAAGCAGTAGCTGCAACAAACACATAAATGCTATCAACAGTCGGTTATTCTGAAATGGGCCATTCTGTACAATGAGTCATTTGACTTTTTCTACTTTTACTTGAGTAAAATGTGGAATGCAGGATTTTTGTTTAATATTCTTCTAATTTGTCTTGCAGAGAAACTGCCACTCAATGAGGGGACACCTGGCGTCCGTGCACAACTCGATGGAGTTATTTGAGATCGAGAAGATCACCATAATCACCACTTATCAGATGCCGCTAGCGTGGATCGGAGGCTCTGAATTACAGAAGGTACTTTACAGTTGTGAAAGTAACAAAGTACATTTACTCAAGTTCGGTTGTAAAGTACAATTTGAGGTACTTGTTCTTTATTGTATGCTACTTAATAGTTCTCCTCCACTGTATTTAGTACCACTACATTTATTTCACAACATTGGTATACAGTATATAAGGATTCTAACATGACTGTAACATGGGTGTAATATAGGTGTTATATTGGTGTAATATGGGTTAAGTAACGGTGTGATGGGTGTAACATGGGTATTATATGGTGTAATATTAGTTTAATATGGGTCTCATAACAGTGTAATATAGGTGGTAGGTTTAATAACACTTTAAAAGGTGCAATGTATCTCATGATATACATTTTAAGTTTAATAAATCATGAAATACATTAGAAAACAGCAGTTGATTAAGATATAATGTATAGTTTTATTTTTAAAAAAAAGGAGATTCTGCATATGATTATGTTTAGTTTTGGTATTTTGAGTATATTCCAGGTTCTTCCGTCTAATTTCACAGTTTTCCTGATAAATAAAAGTACAATTTTTTCTTGCAGGTGAGCGCCTGGTCCTGGACTGATGGGACTCCTTTCAGCTACACAAACTGGTGTGATGGAGAGCCCAATAAGACAGGCGTGGAGAGATGCGTACAGATGAATCACTCAGGTAAAATAGCATTACGCTTACAATAAGTTATGTCAATTTTATATTTGAGTACCAGATCAAAATAAAAACATTTTTTTGTATTTTTTCGCAGCGGAGAAGTGCTGGGATAACGTGAAGTGTTTCGTGAAGTTGCCGTCCGTCTGTGTCAAGGGATCCTGAAGGAGTCTGACGCTCACAGTGGCATACAGTCCACCTTAAACCTTGTGTGTTTGTGTGCATGCTTTTAAATACATCTGTCTTCACGCCATCAGTGTCACTTATGTTCTGATGGTTCTGATTAATAATCTTTCCTATCGCTGTAACGCTGAGGAATGAAGCGACAAGTGAATTAAACAGTGGCTGCCTCTCATGAGAGCAGACTGAAGGAGTTTGGAAAGGAAAAGGCTTTTAGCACAACCTTATATATTTAATAGAGACTCTTTTTTTCATCTGTTCAAGAATAAAAGGCTCAAGCATTCAAACAAGCTGTTCTGTCATTAATGTATTTATGAGGAAACACTTAGTATTATTACTTATAAAATTCTTTTTTTGTCGTTCTGGGAAATGGGTCATTGGAGGTGAAAACAAAATGATATTTCAGAGCGAAAATCATCAAACAGTTGAGTGATCGGCAGCATGTCTGAACAGGAGTCAAAACCACGTCTAGCTCTCATGAGGTAGCATTACACCGGGTGGTTCTCTGCTGTAGTTCCTTTATAGCCCAACATTAGCCGCCGTTAGCTTAGCAGTGGTGACATGAAGTCATGTGACCGTGCTGTAGTTCCTTTAGCCCAACATTAGCCTTCTTTAGCTTAGCAGTGGTGACATGAAGTCAAGTGACTGTGCTGTAGTTCCTCTATAGCCCAACATTAGCCACCGTTAGCTTAGCGGTGGTGACATGAAGTCAAGTGACCGTGCTGTAGTTCCTTTATAGCCCAACATTAGCCACCTTTAGCTTAGCGGTGGTGACGTGAAGTCACCTGACCGTGCTGTAGTTCCTTTATAGCCCAACTTTAGCCACCTTTAGCTTAGCGGTGGTGACGTGAAGTCATGTGACTGTGCTTTAGTTCTTTTATACCCTAACGTTAGCTTTTTACTTACTTAAATTCAGGGGCCTTTGCAGAAATACGACATCCCTCCACCACTCCTTCCTTTAAATGCTTTATAACTTCTATATTCTCTCCCCAGTTCTCTTGCAATGGGAGTACGTGGAGGAGTCTTCACGCTGATGTTTGGCAAATTAAACCTTCGTCTCAGGAACCATCTCTTCAGGACGCTGATGAGGCAGGAAATCGCCTTTTTTGATGAAAACCATACAGGTATTAAAGGAGCATCCCTTAATTCTTATTATTAGATTCTACCCCTCTACTACTGATAACTCACTTCAGTCAACTTAGTAATACCATAGTGTCGAAATATTCTGATACGAGTAAAACTCCTGCATTCAAAATGTTTCTAAAGCTGAAGCTTTAAGTATTAGCATCAAAAATATACTTTTAATACAAAATGACTTTATAGCTTAATATAAAGTGCTCCCAAATGTAGTGGAGTAGAAGTACTTCAACAATTCAAGTACTTTAGTAAATATAAGTCACTCCCTCAAAAATATATATACCGTTAATTATTCTAAAATGTATTCCTGCTAATTATCCCCCTTTTGGAAAATATTTGATACAAATCCAATTAAGTATTTTTTCCTGTCGATGTAATGAAATAACATCAATAAAAAATGTTATTTCCTGCCTGTATCTGTAGGGGACATTATTTCCCGTCTGTCGGCGGACACCACACAAGTGAGCGACCTGATCTCCAACAATGTCAACGTGTTCCTGCGGAGCATCGTTAAGGGCGTCGGCTTCTTCATCTTCATGTTCGGAATGTCCTGGAAGCTCACATTGGTCACCATCATGGGATTCCCCTTCATCGCTGTCGTCTCCAAACTCTATGGAGATTACTACAAGGTAAAGTACATTTAGGAACTGAATGTGTTGATTATTTTAATTGTAGTAACAAGCAATATCTCTACATTAATGCGTAGATGGTGTCAGGCTTACGCCCTCTTAAAGCATGCCGACTTCTGGGTGGGCGGGGATAATGAAAGCCAATTTAATAAATGTCCGCAATAACAAGTACAAAGTTTGTACCAAATTTCATAAACATTGGAGCAACAACATGCAACTATAGAACATGCTAACCCTAACGAGCCATTTTACTGCATTATTTTCAATTTTGTGCCAATTCTGACGTCTAAAATATGATAGTTAGTTAAGACTTAATCTCTACATCAATGCATAGATGGCGTCAGGCCTACGTCCTCTGAAAGCGTGTCAAGTTCTGAGCATATGGGACGATGTTCAGATGACACATGTCAATCGTTAAAAATTGGAGTTTGCTAAAGATGCAGGAAAAATGCAGACTTTTCAAAATGGCCGACTTCTGGGTGGGCGGGGATAATTAAAGCCAATTTGAAAAATGTCTGCAATAACAACTGCGTACCAAATGTCGTAAACATTGGAGCAACAATATGCAACTATGGACTTACCACTGAATAGGGGGCGCCAGAGAGCATGTTCACCCTTACAAGCCATTTCACTGCATTATTTTTATAATTTTGTGCCATTTCTGACGTCTAAAAAATGAAAAGTTAGTTACGACTTAATCTCTACATCAGTGCGTGAATATCGTCAGCAGATGGGACGATGTTCAGATGACTCATGTAAATCGTGATACAATGGGAGTTTGTAAAAGTTTGCTAAAGATAAAGGAAAAACCAAAATTATGCCAAATAGCAGACTTCCGGTTGGACGTGGACAAGGAAGACCAATTTGAAATATGTCCGCAATAACAAGTGCAAAGTGCGTACCAAATTTCGTAAACATTGGAGCAACTATATGCTACTATGGACCTACCACTCAATAGGGGGGCGCCAGACAGCATGATAACCCTTACAGGCCATTTCACTGCATTATTTTATAATTGTGTGCTATTCCTAATGTCCAAAATATGAAAGGTTAGTTAAGACTTAATCTCTACATCCATGTGTTGAACGTGTCAGGCCTAGACTCTCCTCAAGCACGTGGAAGCGTTGTTAAATAGTAATACTCGACAAAAAATCAATAGTTTCCTTGCCCTCATATCCCTCAAAGGCCATGATGTGACCATAATCAAAGGGTTTATATTTAGTTTTCTTTAGATGTATCCATTGTTCACTCTCTGTTATGGAAATGTATGCAAATTAGCACTTTATTTTGTAATCCTTCATCTATTTCATCTTCAGAAATTGACCAAAGAGGTGCAAACAACCCTTGCAGAGGCCAATAAAGTTGCAGAGGAAACTATTTCGTCGATGAGGACGGTTCGCAGCTTCGCTAACGAGGAGGGGGAGGCCGACACGTACCTTAGCAAACTCCTGGTCATGTTCCAGCTCAACAAAAAGCAAGCGCTGGCCTACGCTGGGTACATGTGGTCGAGCTGTGTACGTATCAGAACATGTAAAAAGCTACATCTGTCTTTTTAAATGTTGTTTTCTTATCTGTTATCCGTGTCTTTCAGATCTCGGAGCTTGCTTTAGAGATAGCCGTCCTCTACTATGGCGGCCATCTTGTCGTCAGCGGGCAGATGAGCAGCGGTTCTTTAATATCGTTTTTTATATACATGCTGGAACTGGGCGAATGTCTCGAGGTATTTCATCAGTTTTACTTCTTTATTTAGTTTTGCCTGAGTGAAGATACTTGGCAGTTCATCAGTAATAGGAATATTTTATTTATCCTTTGGGTAATTTTATGAAAGTTGCTCAATTTTCTCCATTAAATAATAAAGAATACAATATTTATTTAAACATAAAGTTAGAATGTGCAATAAAGAATACAATGAAATACATGTATTAGTACATTTACATTTTAGTTATTTTTTATCTTTTAACTTTTTAATGCTATTTTATTTATATTTCTGAAATATTTTGGACTGTTTATTTCTCTTATGTACATTGCATTGTGTTTTTCCATCTACCAATCTATCTATCATATATATATATATATATATCCATCTATCTATCTATCTCTCTATATATATATATATATCTCTTTCTCTCTCTCTTCCTCAGAGCATTGCCTCGGTGTACACGGGGCTCATGCAGGGAGTCGGAGCGGCAGAGAAAGTATTTGAGTATCTGGACCGGGAACCCAAACACCGGGCTGACGGCACCGAGGCTCCGGACACCTGCTCGGGTCTGGTGGAGTTCAAAGACATCACGTTTGCATACCCGACACGCCCCGATACCGATATTCTCAAGGTTCGTTCTCAGGGATCTTTCTGCCAACACACATATTTTTATCCTGCTTACACACCCACAAAAACATATCAAATCGTGAGGAATGATCGCAGATGGTGTGCTGTGACTTTTCCAAGGAATGAATGGGAATCAACGTGACCAGGGACCTCATTTATAAACGGTGCGTACGCACAACAGATGGCGTACGCCAGTTTCTACGCACTGTTTGCGATTTATAAAAATCTAACTTGACGGGAAAACGTGCGGTCCTCCACGCAAACTCTGACCCATGCGTACGCACTAAGCACAATAACGGGAGAGATGAGAAACTGCGACACCGTTGGCAGAAGGAAGAATGGAGAGAAATATGTGGAAATAATACCATAAATAAAATGTTACCTCTCATTTATCATATATGAAGAATTCATTTTCACAAATTGATTAAAGCCAATCTTAAAAGGATTTAACGAACGCCTGTTTGAGACTCCTCAGTGCACACAAAAACATAACTTGGAGAAATAAATAAATACAGAAATGTTATTGATCACCCCTCGATTATGTTCTCTTGGTAAGAAATGTTTTCTCATAAATGATGCGGTAAACAGAAGCACAGAATTACTTTAAACTGACGCCGTTTTGCATTTCTATAGGTTGTAGATACGAGCATGGTTTAATATACTATCACGTTTAATCATGTTTTATGCCGTTCGCCAATAGCCTACTACTTGATAAGTCGCTCGTAAAACACAGGAGGTATGGAAACTAAGAGCACCATATGTGGTAAATTGTACAGCTAATATAACACAACACATTAGTTGTATTTCCTTTAACTGGTGGATATAGGGATATATAGTTGCTGATCGACAGCTGGAACACAAACCACCAAATACAAAAACAATAATTCAGATCCAGTCGTCATGACTCCACTCCGGAGGGATTCCCCGATCATTTCTTACAGTTTCTCATCAAGGGGGGGTCTCCTGTCCCCGGTACAAACACACTGCCTGAGGAAGGCTATGTGTATTTTTTTTGTCATGAACCTTTTCGGAACACTTATTTATTTATTTTGGTGACGATCCGACCTCCATGCTGCTACTCTGGTTCAAACTGCATCCTCCAAACAATATGATTTATCTCCACCTCCCCAAAATAACCTAAATCTGACACGGTGTGAGATGTTTTTTTGAGCTGTTCGTCATTTCCTGCGATCTTCTTCATAAAGTCAGTCAAAATGAATGAATGAGCGTTTCTTAGACTATTTATAGGCAAATATGGGCGTTGCGTGAAGAAAAGAAAAGCTGCACCGCATTTCGAGTTGATTGTGATTTATAAAGGGAAACCGGCGTAGGATGTGCCGTACGCAAGTCCTGTGCCGGTCGCAGTCTTTTATGAATCGGAAAGTGTCGGTGCGTATTTATTTGCTTTGTCCTACGTAAGCAACCTTCCCACGCCAATCCTACGCAAGGCTTTATAAATGAGGCCCCTGAGCTCAGAATCATCCTACTTTGAAGTCACACTGATTCGCCATACTTAAACGTAGAAAAAATATCTAAAGTTTAAACGGCTCTCCAGACTCTTAACTTTATTGGAATAAA